ACCAAATACAAAATAAACACCGCCAAAAACCTAATACATAAAATACTTACTTTAAGCCACCAACGATTTCATGACGCAAACATAGACAAAATAAAAAAAATACTAAAAAGCAACAATTACCCCGACTACCTAATACGCGAACTTATACAACAGAAAGTAATGGAAATAACCAGCCCTCAAAATAGAGCAACATCTACAAAAACAACAGACACGAAAAAACAATACCACAGCATAACATACATCCCCAAACTATCCGAAAACCTCGATCGCGACTTGGCTAGAAAACAAAATATCACTCTCGCCTACAAGTCCAATAACACTTTATCTACGATTTACACAAAAACAAAAAGCCCTATAGACACCAAACAACAGAACAACGTAGTTTACGGAATAACATGTAAAGGCAAAGAAAACGAAGCCTGTAATAAAATATATATAGGAAAAAAGGAAAAAGACAAGGTATACACTGGAGAGCCTAAGAATAATGCAAAAAAGAGAAAGAACAATAAACAAGAAAGAAGATACCGATGACATTGCTGCTGCATACATTTTATGTTTATGACGAATTTTAGCAATTACCAGTATTGACAAGACTACCACAATAGATGGTACCGAAGCATAGAAATGGAAGAAAACGCACGCATCCCCTTCTTAGACGTCTGCATTCACAGAGAGAAAAATAGCTTACTTTTGGACTGGTACTCCAAACTAACTACAACAAGTTAACTACTACTCATCACAACCCACCAAATACAAAATAAACACCGCCAAAAACCTAATACATAAAATACTTACTTTAAGCCACCAACGATTTCATGACGCAAACATAGACAAAATAAGAAAAATACTAAAAAGCAACAATTACCCCGACTACCTAATACGCGAACTTATACAACAGAAAGTAATGGAAATAACCAGCCCTCAAAATAGAGCAACATCTACAAAAACAACAGACACGAAAAAACAATACCACAGCATAACATACATCCCCAAACTATCCGAAAACCTCGATCGCGACTTGGCTAGAAAACAAAATATCACTCTCGCCTACAAGTCCAATAACACTTTATCTACGATTTACACAAAAACAAAAAGCCCTATAGACACCAAACAACAGAACAACGTAGTTTACGAAATAACATGTAAAGGCAAAGAAAACGAAGCCTGTAATAAAATATATATAGGAAAAAAGGAAAAAGACAAGGTATACACTGGAGAGCCTAAGAATAATGCAAAAAAGAGAAAAAACAATAAACAAGAAAGAAGATACCGATGACATTGCTGCTGCATACATTTTATGTTTATGACGAATTTTAGCAATTACCAGTATTGACAAGACTACCACAATAGATGGTACCGAAGTAAAATTAAGTTTAATTAAATATGTTATAATAGAAATTTCTGTAAGTAGTAAAATAGTATAATTCATTTGCCATTTTTATGTTCATATGCACGTCATACATGTATGTTCCTTATGTAATTTTTGTCAAACGTTAATGCATAATTGTAATTTTTGTACTTATTGTTGATACAGTGAAAATAAACAACCAGCCCCTGAAGATGCTAATGAGTTTAGCGAAACGTTGGGCAACAATAGTGGAATAACTTCGTTTTATTTGCACTAAAGGATGCAAGATCAGACAAGCCTATTAAAATATTAAAATTTAAAAAACTTAAATTCATTAAATTAATCCTCAGCAAACAAAATATTGAGCTCGGATTTACACAAACCCATGCGGTAAAAAGAAAATATATATATAAAAATACAAAAAAACAACAACGAGATAAATTGAGCGGGAAGAGAGCAGCGAGTTGAAAATAGGCGAGTAAAAAAAGGAAACAAGAAACTATGCTCAAACTGAAATCAAAAAAATTCAGAAGTTTAAGTAACTAAAAATATTATACCTAAGCGAAATAGTAATTCATAAAATTCATATGGCAAACGCGTAAGTATAACAACTAAAAATTTCCGCAAAAAAAAAAAAGCTGATGCTCCTCCGCTGATGGTTGTAGTAGCTGGTCGCTCCCCAAGAATTTCTGGAGGGGTGACCGCGCCCCCAATGTCTGAGCAGGGAAAAATATGTATGTATGTATGCTCGCCTGCTTCTGACCAGAATTCTCCTTTCCCCTATTCAGCCCACTGGAATTCTGCTTAATCGCTCAATCTGCAGCGGGCATTGACCCTCTCTCAGTTCGAAGATTCCGCACAGCTGATCCCTGTATTATTATTGTTGCCAGTTCTGCCTATGATAGTTGATATCAAATTGTATATGTAGAGGTGTGTGTGCGCTGCTTCTATCGTGCATAGGTGTTACATGGTTATGTATGGCGGTGCGTGCAACTTCTATCTAACGTCCAGCTCGGTACCTGTTGGTATAGATGGCGGTTGACTTTAATTGCGTCGGGGCTTGCTGCCTGCACTTGCGTCCTTTGTTGTTGACGCAACAATTGCAGTGTTGTTGACGGTAGTACTATTTTTCTGCTGGGGAGGTCGATTTATACCTGTGTACTGGCGACCTAAAAAAAAAACACTATAATTTAATCAAAAGTTAATAAAGCGGAGTGGTGGCCATACGCATCTACCTACACACTGTACGTACGCGGAAGCCAGTGCCTTCACGCGTTTTTGTGTATGCATGTAGATGGCCTTTTTTTTGTTCAAATTCAATTCGCTTGCTTCTTTAAACTTACTTCAACTCCCAATATTATCGGTCTTGGCTAATTAGGTGTTCCGGATAAGTGACGGGATCTCCACAGGTCTCGTTGGTTGCACTTCAGGCAGCTTCAGCTCGACCGTTATATATATATACATATATATAAATATATATATCTTTATACGCATATATATATATCCACAAATTACGGAATACCGCCGTTTTTCCCGTTTAACTTTTATATAAAAATATACATAATTAACCGCACAAAATTAGGCACTTAAACTCGCGACACTTCACCGCCAACGTATTTTTTTCTAACTGAACATTTACGACTCCTTCAGCGCTATTTTATTAGAGCTGATCAACCCGAAGGAGTGACTCAGTAAGTTTCCCGCATATCCCCGAAGTTTAAGATTTTTACTCAACTATAAACAACACTAACACATAGACATTCACACACGCTTAGTACTGCCTTATCGAACCGCCTGGTTAGCAAGGTTTCACACCCTTGGCTGTAACTTTGTGTGGCTTATAGAATTTATAGCTACTTTCACATCCGGTGGATACACACTCACACATACACAGTCATACTGAGTGGGACGCTGCGTAACAGTCACTGTCGACAGTTACAATTTCGAGAAAGTAGAGAATTTCGTTTACTTGGGAACCAGCATTAACACCGATAATAATGTCAGCATTGAAATCCAACGTAGAATCACTCTTGCCAACAAGTGCTACTTTGGACTGAGAAGGCAATTCAGGATGAAGTCCTCTCTCGACTTACGAAAGCCGCGCTCTATAAGTCACTCATCATGCCCGTGCTGGTATATGGCGCAGAAGCATGGACAATGACAACATCCGATGAGGCGGCTCTTGGAGTGTTTGAGAGAAAGATTTTGCGGAAGATTTACGGGCCTTTACGCGTTGGCGACGACGAGTACCGCAGACGATGGAACGATGAGCTGTACGAGCTTTACAACGATATGGACATAGTGCAGCGAATTAAAATACAGCGGCCCCGCTGGCTTGGTCATGTGGTTCGAATGGACACCGACGCTCCAGCTCTGAACGTATTCAACTCGGAACCCGCTGGTGGTAGCAGAGGAAGAGGGAGGCCCCCACTGCGATGGAAAGATCAGGTGGAGAAGGACTTGGCTTAACTTGGCGTTTCCAATTGGCGTCAGTTGGCACAGAGGAGAAACGACTGGCGTGCTTTGCTGAACTCGGCCAAAATCGCTTACGCGGTTACAGCGCCAAAAAGGAAGAAGAAGAAGAAGATAGGATGTCATGTCATGTGTTGTCGTATCCTCTGATGTCATGCTATAGGATGTCATACCATATGAAGTCATATCATGTGATGCCACGTCATGTAATGCCATGTCATGTCATACGCTGTCATATCATGTGATGTCAAGTCATGTGATGTCAAGCCATATAATGTGATGTCATATCATATAATGCCATGTCACGTGATATCGTGTGATGTGATATCATATTATGTGATGTAATATCATGTGATGTCTCTTCATATCATGTGATAAAATGTAATGTGATGTCATGTAACGTGATCACATTCCATGTTCCTGTTTCGATAAAAATACCGATAACAATATCCATAAACGTATAGAAAAATACAACGATTGCAAAATCGATTAATTCATCAATAAATATAGCAATCATCAGTATCGACTATTGTACATACCGTTAACAATATAAATGACTAAATCGATAACAAAATCAATTATTTAATCGATTATTATACCGATAACAATATCCATTATTGTATCGATAACAATATCGATTATTATATTGATTATTATATCGATTACAATAGCGGTTATTTAATCAATAACAGTATCGATAACAATATCGATTATTTTATCGATAGCAATATCGATTATTATATCGATAAAAATATCGAGTTTTATATCGATAACAATATCGATCTTCATCCTCATCCTTTTCTTCACATTTATCTTAATTTTTGCATATTCCTCTTCACCTTTACCTTAAAGTGTTTAAATTTACTTTGATCTTCGTTTTTGCCTGTACCTCTAGGCATCTTTATTTTTATTTTTATTCTCAAACCGCTAAACCACTGAGAACCATTTCCATGTGCATTATTCCCCTTGAATTTGACAATTTACTCCCAACCAACCAACTGCCGCTAAAGAAGTTTCACTTCATAAATTCAAGAAATGTTCTTACCCTTTCAGTTACCCTAATTCTTATGTATCTGTCATTGTCTCCATTTTCGTCTTTATCTTCACTTTTGCCTTCTTT